CCACTGAAGCCTCCAGACCCTCGGTTCCCAGTCCTCCCGCCGCTGTGGACACCGGGTCCCGGCCTGCGCCGCGTGTCTGCCTGTGAGGTGAGGAGCTGGATGTCCATGGGGCGGCCGTCCAAGGGGACGCCGTGGTACCGCTGCCTGGCGGCCAGGGCGTCCGCCTTCCGCTCGAAGTGCACGTGGGCGGTGCCCAGGCTGCGGCCAGAGCGGCCGTAGTGCAGGCCGGCCCTCCTCAGGGCCCCGCAGTCCGCAAACAGCTCCTGGATGTCCGCGTTCTTTGCCCCTCACAGTGGGATCTTGCATCTACTTCTGTTTATTTAAATAATGCTGTTCTCAAATCAGGGAAGTTTTCTGACATTGTTTCTTTGAATATGTTTTCTAGCCCTTGCTCTTCTTCTTGTCCTTCTGGCACCCCTATTATACGTATGTTACTTCATTTGTGTTGTCCCAAAGTTCCCTTAGGCTCTCCTCCTGTCTTTTAATTTTTTTCTCCAATTGTGAATGGAACCACAAAAGACCCTGAATAGCCAAAGCAATCATGAGAAAAACGAATGAAGATGGAGGTATCCTGCTACCTGATTTCAAGTTATACTACAGAGCTACAATAATCAAAACAGCATGGTATTGGCAGAGAAATAGACACACATATCAATGGAACATAATAGAGAACCCAGCTATAAAAGTCCGACACCGCGAAGTCCAGGTTGGACACCAGCAGTTTGCCTCCCGTCTCCACGCCGGCGCCCCCGCCGATGCCGCCGTCGAAAAGGTCGTGTGGCCACCGGTCGGGAAGCTGTCTGGGCCGGCTGTAGGGCGCCGGCCGGTTCCTGCCTCGGCCGCCGGCCGCTGGCTCTGGTTCATCTTCTGCCACCGAAATGCAAATTGCTCAGCACCAGGGCTGCATCATATGTCCCCAGATGCACCACCTGAAATGCGAGAGAGGGAAGCTTCACCTGGGAGTGAGAGGACAGCTTCTCCGGTTTCGCTCTCGCTGATGTGAAGGCGAGGCCCCCATCACCTCTTTCTCACCCAGATGCACAGCGTGGCCCGTGAGAGGTTCCGCCACTACAATTGTCCAGGTGGGGAGACTGACTCCCGGCGCTGCCCTCTCCCCTTCTTCCCAGAATCCTCTGCCCCATCTGTTTTGCTTCATTCCCAAGAGCTCTTCTGAGCTAGAGAGAGCTGCTGACACAGATGACAAGCCAAAATGAAAGAACAGCCAAGTCTTACACTTACACTGGGCGGCCAACAGGCTGAGCGAGAGAAAGCGCCAGCTCCCCCTTGCTGCTGTTCCCTATGGGAAGGCTTGCTGGTCCGGGTGGGTGGGCCAGTGGCAGTCTCACTGCTAAGGAAGCCAGAACAAAAGTCTCCGGCCCTTTAATGGGGTAGGGGAGGAGGGGAAGGCTAGGAGTGGGCAGGGATGGAGTACTGAGTCAGAGTGGAGAAAAATGGACAAAAGATAGCTCTTACTAGATAGAGCCAAAGTATTCAGCCCTCTTGACTGGAAAAGTCATCGAGTGTAGTTCTCTGGAAAAAACAAGAGGTGGGGGGAGGAAGAAGCAAGATTATTTACTAGTAAAAGATCAGAAAGAAAAGAAAAAAGACAAGTCTAAGAAATAGAAAATAATATTTAAAGTGAAACTTTGGTATTGACATTTGAGTAGAACAGAAAAATAAGTCCATTAAGTTCTAGTGGGTATTTAGTTCACACCAGCTGGTTTGTGCTTGCTGTGTACTAACTGCTTCCTGGTCCATATGGTTCTATTTGTGATCAGTCAAATCATGGTGCCTCTTACTATTACAGCTTTTATTTATAGAAAAACAAGGGAATGCTGATATTCAACATCCAGATACAGAAAGCAGACTACAGACTGCGAATTTCACTTTTAAACATCCATGCCATGGTCTTCAAAGAGTTCAATGAAAAGAAAGGTTTTAAATCATTTCGGAGAGAAGAAATACAGAAAGAGAAAACACAACGGGGACCCCAGTCCACATGGAAGTGGGTTATTTCTTCTATCCTGATGGGCTGGGTTTCTTCCACGTTCACCCAGATCTGGGCTTGACCTGGATTTAGTTTCCCAGCGACTTCATAGCTCTAAATACATAAGAACTATCATCAGATGAGGAGATGAGAAGCCGTCTTTAACACTAGAGGGCTGTATAAACCACTCTCTTCACAAACAAGCATTTAAATGGTTAATACAATAATTATCAGTATTATTTACTATTATTTAAATAGTAGAAAACCAGTCTGTGCCATGCCCATGCCCAGCACAAGCTTTTGATTCTACAGTGTAGGAAGCTGGAATGTGTAATTTCCCTGCAGAGCTAATCTTGTGGGCTCAAAGAGACTGAGACGCCTGCAGGGAATTCTGGGGATTTCTATTATAGTGCACTGTTTCCTGCTGGCCTTGACCTGTAAGAAAACTGTGGTTTTCAGCTATTCTAAAAACTGCTTATAATGGAGTTGGTAAGAAAAACTTTTTCCTTCCAATTTTTTTTTATTGTGATAAAATACACTTAACATAAAATTTACCAAATTAACCATTTTAAGCATACAGTTCAGTAGTATAAATACTTTTATATTGTTGTGCTATCATTTCTCACCTCTCCCCATCCCTTCACAACCACCATTTCACTTTCTGTATCTATGAATTTGACTCGTCGGGTCACATTTTAGCTGTTAGTATTAACTTAATGATTTACTCTCTGTATTTTTTCTTCCATATAATGATCATTTGATTCATTGGTCAATCAGCAGATACCTTTATTTTAAGGCAACGTCTTTATAATTTTAGTAACATACAACACATATATTTATAGTTTATGACAAAGTTATGTTAGTAATAAGAAATTAAGAAGACTGGTATTGAAAATGTTTACCAGATAAAAGAACATGCAGATAATTTCTACCTCAAATTTGACATTATCATTGCTATTGAGGGTTCACATCAAATTAATTTCTCCAACTATCTTTGTACTTGATTTTCAATATTTTAAGTCATTTTTTCATTTTTATCCACAATTATATCACCTGGAATTTGATCCAAAATACAACTGGTGTGATCTTCAGATCTTCAGATATCACAGATTCCAACTACGGGATTTGCCTAATGAAAGAAAAACACAAGGTGTGTCTGACTGCAAATGATCAATGAGCAGACTGTATACCTTTTATTTTTGTGCTGTAAATATTAAACCCCTATCAGATGCAAAATGCAGTGTCATAAATATAGAAAGAAGCAGTCGTTCTCCTCAAAGAACTTCCAATCTAGTAGGAGACATAAAATGTACTCAAAGAGACCTAGCACCACAATTCAATAGATTGACTTTCAAATTACTGGCATGGGCAGTAAGTGGTTGAAGAGTCCAGAAGAAGCAAGGAAAGAGTAGCTGCACTGGTCAGGGAAAGCCTCCCAAGAGAGGAAGGAGCAGGATCCATCTTCGTGGATGGGTGCAATGAAGTCAGGGTGTGGTGGGCTATTGAAAGGACATGTGCAGGCACAGAGGTAGAAATGCCCAATGCATATGTAGGGATCAGTCAAGCTGAAAAGGGAGACTTTCATAGGCAAACAAAGAGAAAGCTGACTAGGGGGTCCTTTGGGATCCTGAATAATAAACTGAAAACAAAGTTAAACTATCATGTCAATTAACGATAAGATTCATCAGACAAGCATGCCAATGAAGTTAGATTTTACTTTATGCTTAAAGATCAGGGTATTGATATTCATTCATAAACTTATTGCCTCGACTCAATTAAATGTTTCTTCCAGAACTTTGTCAGGGAGATTTTGCTTTTTTAGCGAGTTACTGTTTGTGAACAAAAGCTCAGGAGTTGCAAATTAAGACAGAATGAAAGCATAGTAAGTAAAACCTGCTAAAACAATCAACGCATACTTCTTATTCTTATGTATTAGCTGGCATGGTATGTCAGATAGCACAGTGGGGTGAGAATCAAAACACTCACATTCTTCATTCTTCTTGACTTTCTCATGGAGAAATCACCTGGCCCTGACAGAACAATTTCCCTGTACTCTTAGGTTTCCCATTTACAGATTGGCGACAGGGAGGTCATGTGATAGAGTTGAAAGAAAACAAGATTTGGGGTTGGATGTTTTGCTCTGATCCATGTCCATCAGGACCCTCCAACAGCCTCCTCACAGGTCCCTTTTGCCCACTCTGCAGCCAGCATTCCCTGCCCCTCCCTCCTGTAGCCAGAGATCCCTTCAAAGCACAAATCTGACTGTCGATCTTCTTAAAATCTCAAAGATTCTCCCAGCAACTTCTGCAGCCTCATCTCATATTATGTCCTGTTCGATCACGCTTATTCTTCAGACAGGCTACCCACTGCTGCCGCAGGGCCTTTGTGTGCACTATTTTGTTGCCTCTTTTCCCTAAATTTCTATTCATCACCCAGCCTAACCTCCATATCACTCCACTAGAACAGCTGACCTCTCACACCACTCCAGTCCCCTGATGATATGCTCCTTAGGGACGCTGCCACCCTTAATGACATCAGAGAGCAGGGCTATAACTCTACATTGGTTTTGTGATGACTTGTTCAACATCTATTTCCTTCTCTGGACTGTAGGCTCCATGAAGACACAGGCAGTATTTTTTTTAAAATTCTTATTATGCAATTCTTGGTACCCACACAGTGTCTAGTACATAACAGACCTTCAAAAATGTTTGTTGAGTTTGTGAATTTATTGCTTGCGTGGCTTTTACAATTGAGACAAGTAATAACAGCTTCTACCATAGGTGGTTCGCCTGCTTTGAAGGATTGTAATCAAGATTAAATGTATCAACATGAGGATGGCAAGCCACATTGTGCTCAAATGGTAGTCTTTATTTATTATAGAGATCACCGAGGACAAGATGAGATAATGCTACATAAAATCCTCAGCTCGGCGGTGAGCTGGAAGTGATACCTCAAATGGAAATCTAAGATTGAAAGTTTATCTGTGAAAAGCTTCCATAAGAGAGAATAATTTGCCAATTGACAATATTCAAGATTGTGCAGTGTTTTCAATGTGCAAATTCATGAATTATTTATGTCACTTATTTTTCTAATTTTGAGTTCAAACACACTGCCCAGAGTGGCTTTCTTATCGTGGTGCTCACTTGTGCTGCCTGTAGATTGCCTGTAGCATTCGAGGCACCCAGGGTCCTCTGGCACAGTGTGATTGAGCGTCTTTCAGCTTTTGCCTGACCCATCATGGCCAAAACCTGAGCCTGCAAAACCACACTGACCTTGGCTTAGAAGACACTTTGTTATTACCTCACCAAATAAAGTGTCCCTGAAGAGAGGCATTGGGAAAATGCCTTAGGTGCACTATATTACACTATAATATATATATATATATTATATATGCATATACTAACTATCCTATATCATAAAAGCCTAATATGCTAAGTGTCTGACCAACTGTTGGACCAGTTGCTATGATGTGCACTGACCACCAGGGGACAGATCCTCTAACTGGTAGGTTAGCTTGCTGCTGGGGTCTGGCCGATTGGGACTGGGTGAGACAGGCCAGACATGCCCTAGAGCCCTCCCATGTCCCTCCCTGGCCCCTATGGTGCATTGGTGGGGTCCCTTGGCCTGTCCTGTGGGGATTGGGCTGAAACCGGCTCTCCGACATCCCTTGAGGGGTCCTGGATTATGAGGGAGAGCAGGCCAGGCTGAGAGACCCCACTGGTGCATG